AGTATTGAAAAAGAAGAGACTTACAATTGAAAAGTCTTACAAAGTAAGAGAAATCATAGATACTTATAAATCAGATAATCTCACTTATTCTGATCTTTTCATAATTATAAGAAAAGAATGAGAAGTAATAAAGAAATCAGGTAAATATCACACTTTAATAAGTGATGAGACTGTAGCTGATTGTATAATAATATACTGCAGATAGTAGACACAATGCAGTAAAAAGCAGTCTTAAAGTGACAGACTTGCATATAAGTCAGATTGCAGAAGAAAACGAAATTCAGAGTTAAATTCAACTGTTTATATCAGTTCAATTACAGAGATAACAGAGAATGAAGTATCTGAAACATCTGTGAATATATGAGACTAAGTCATCTCAATCTCTGAGAATGCTCAGAGATCAGATAAGATTAGTTTTAATAAGCTATTCACTATAGTAGTCTGAGTGAGTAAAGAGAGACAGTATAATATGTGAAGCAGAATTACAAGATGAAAGTTATCAAATCTAGTCACTGAATACTGTATCATATAGAGGTCATATAAGAGTGATGACTAGCAGACAAAGAAAAAGCATAAGAAAAGAAAAGAAAATGACTCAAGAGATAATGAATTGATGATTAACTATAAGAATCAGCTGTAAAAAGACAAATGTTATCATACATATCTCATCTCTTTTTCATATATCACATGTTTAATCTATTTTCAATGCCATGTCATCTGAAGAAAACTACTAAAAACAAAGAAAATCTTAAAACTTGAGATCTGTAAGAAATTTGAGAGCTATAAGCTACTCTTATAACAACACTGTGCATGTCTTCAATTTCTCTATTACTCTGTATGTAACATTAATATTGTTTATTACAAGATTGACTAAAATGCTAATATAGAAATGTGTACACATGTATGTAGAAAAATTGAAGAAGAGCATAGAACTCACAGAATCAGAAGTCAGAACAGAGAGAGTGAAAATGAAAGCAATAGAAGAAGAAGAGAGTGCAGAATCAGATACATAACAGCAGAAGTTATCTAAGATTGAATACTTATAACTCAGAGTGCATACAATCTTATCCGTAGAGAAGATGTTGAAAGAGAAAATAATAAGAGAAGCTTGAAAGTGAGAGAAAATAATCTCAGTGATATTATTATCTTCAGAGATTAAAATGATCTCTGATGCTAAAGTAACTAAGAATTATTATTAGCATATGAAAGTGTAAAATCAGAGATGAGAACAGTTACTGAATGAACACTTACTAATCTTAGAGTTGTACATGCAATTACAACATGTACAAGGCTTCTCAAAAAGAGAGAGAGAGACACAGAAGTAGACTGACTGTGTAACTGTGTCTGAGACCAGGATCAGATTTTTTAATAGTCTCATTATCAATTCAACTGATCTCATTACATGGTTTTAACATTAGATAGTAGTCTTATACTGTTTCAGTGAGACTTACTGTCTACTCTTATCACATTTTTCAAATGAGATAATGATTTTCACTTCTCAATTTAAATTATTTTTATTGCTTTAAATGACTTTAAATCTCATTTAAGTGTTACCAAAAAGTGTTACTTTTTAAAAAATTAAAAATAGTCTAAAAAAAAACCTTAAAATGTCTAAAAATAGTAACTTTATGCTAAGAATGGGACTAAATGAGATCAAATGAGACCTCTTTCTTATTTTTTTCAAGTTATGGTTTCATTTTAAGATCTCATATATAGTCACTTTGCATGTTTTTTTAATGACTAGTCCCAGCGGGATTCACATCAAGAAATGTATAGAATCAGATCAAATGAGATCAAATATGAAATTCATGATCCCGGCGGCCAGTCTACACAGAAGAATGCAGAGAGCAGAATGCAGTGTATAAACAGCTTATTCTTATAATAATATTTCAGACAAGATATATAAGTCTCACATCTACAGATATAAAAGAGTATGACATCTGTATTTCTGTTTCTGAAAACATGAATATCTTTTGCCTGCATTATAAAGTTGAATAACAGATGTTAGAGAATAGACTGATATGAATCTATCATCTCAAAGAAATTTATCAGAGCAGATATACTCACAATATTGAACTTTACAGTTATAAAAAGTTTCTTGATATCTGTAGATACTATAACTTTGTGCATAATAAAACTTATAATAATTTTTTCTAAGAACAGAAAAATCAGCATCAGAAAGAGAAGATGAAAAAAGAAAAGACTTATAATTTTAATACTATTAAGAAGAGAAGTGATTCTCTGATATGAATAAATAATTATCTCATTATAAATACTTAAAATGAATGTAATAATCAGTGTCTGTGACTGAGCTTCAGATAGTTGTGTTATATATACACTGTCTTTGTATAATAAATTATTCTAGAGATCAGTAAAAAGAGTAGAAGTATATATACTGAGAAATGTGATTCATCAAGTCTATACAACATCTTCTTGAAATAAGAAGAGTTAATAATGAAGATAGAAGCAGCAGAGACAGAGAGAACAGAAGTAGTGAGAATAGAAGTGAGAATTGTAGAAACAGAGATTGCAGAAGCAGAAGAATCAGACACAGAGATAAGTGTAGAAGATTGAGAGAAAGTAGCAGAGAAAGAAACAGAGAGAGTAGAAAGAAATATGAAAGACTCAGCTATATATAACACAGATAATTTCTTCATTATTACATTCTTCAAGTTCTTGATTAATAATTCAACATTGAGGTATTCGCTATCATCTATGAATATGAATCTGTCAATGTGTGAAGATTCTATATGAATTAAAACAAATATATCAGTATCTGTGTTCATATAAAACATGATTAGAAAACATAATTAGAAAACACAATTAGATACTCACTGAGAAAAGAAGATCAAGAGTGTATGAGAAGATAGAGAAAATATGTTATTTACAATAGTATATTCTGATAATTGTTAGAAGATAAACAAGTTCTAATCATATTTTATAATATGTTACACTTACAGCTAATGAACTGTCTGATATAAGGACTATAAAAACACTTGTTATGAAAACAGAGAGTTATTATCAGAAACATATATAATGTAATAGATAAACAGATAGAGAATGTTAAATAGAAGAAGAGATAGAAATCTTGAATAAGATAATAATATTCAATAATGATAATAATGAAGAAGATAATTAAAAAATGAAAAAAGTTAGTGAATAAGTAATATAATATAGTGAAAGTTTCTTTGTAAGAGTGTATACAGAATACTAGCTGAATGAGAAATAGACTATATAATTATAAACACTAGTAGTATGCTAATCCGTATAAAGCTAGAGTGTATATTATAATTATATAAGTATGACTGAATCTAGTGAGAAAGAATGTAATTCAGAAGAATATATAATTATCAGATAATAATACAGCTGCTTCTGAACATGCTTATAAATGTAAAGAGATTATAGCAGTCACTAATTAATTTAATATAATGTATATAAAAAGTCAGTGTATATCTGTAATTATACACTGACCCACAATCTTTTAATCACATATTAGATTTTAAAATGAGACTATGACTTAGAAAAAATAAAAAAGTAATCTTATACAATCTTATTTAGTTTCATTCTTAATATAAAGTTACTATTTTTAGACATTTTAAGGTTTTTTTTAGACTATTTTTAATTTTTTAAAAAGTAACACTTTTTAATAATACTTAAATAAGATTTAAAGTCATTTAAAGTAATAAAAATAATTTAAATTAAGAAGTGAAAATTAGACTGACCGTGTGACCGTGTTTAAGATCAGGATCAGATTTTTTGATAGTCTCATTATCAATTCAACTGATCTCATTACATGGTTTTAACATTAGATAGTAGTCTTATACTGTCTCAGTGAGACTTACTGTCTACTCTTGTCATATTTTTCAAATGAGATCATGATTTTCACTTCTCAATTTAAATTATTTTTATTGCTTTAAATGACTTTAAATCTCATTTGAGTGTTATCAAAAAGTGTTACTTTTTAAAAAATTAAAAATAGTCTAAAAAAAACCTTAAAATGTCTAAAAATAGTAACTTTATGCCAAGAATGAGATTAAATGAAACTAAATGAGATCACTTTCTCATTTTTTTCAAGTCATAATTTCATTTTAAGATCTGATATATAGTCACTTTACATGTTTTTTTAATAACTAGTCTCAGTGAGATTCACATCAAGAAATGTATAAGATTAGATTAAATGAGATTAAATGTGAAATTCATAGTCTCAGCAGTCAGTCTAGTGAAAATCATAATCTTATTTAAAAAATATAATAAGAGTAGATAGTAAGTCTCACTGAAACAGTATAAAACTACTATCTAATGTTAAAACTGTGTAATGAGATTAGTTAAATTGATAATAAGATTATTAAATATTCTGATTCTAGTCTCAGATATGATTATATAGTCAGTCTAAATATTACTACTTAATTACTACTTCAATTTTATTATATTATAACTATTTTTACTTATATACTTTCTCAGTTACTATAGTAATTAACTTATATAATTAATAACTATAAACTTTTTATGAAAAATTATATAATAGTTAGCTTTTTATAATATTAATTAATTACTTTAAAAACATTTTTATTAAATTAAATATTTTTTTATTTATTACTTTTCTATATACTATTAATTTGAAATATATATATAATTACTTTAATACAGTAATTATAAATTATTTTATACATAGAATTATTATATTTCTGAAAAACTTGTATTTTTTACTGATTTTTAAATATATTATTAAATATAGTTTAAAAGTATTTAAATTTATATAAAATTATAAATATATATTAACTTTTTATATAAGTAAAGCTGTTAGAACTTTTTACATTTATAAATATATTTAAAAACAGCTGTATTATTATTTAATAATCAAACATTTTTTCAAATTATATTTTTATGTTAAGAAAAAAGTAAAGTTAAAAGTGAATTAAAATTAATCAGTTCTTAGATATATAAATTAATATATTAAAAGAAAACTCAAGAGTTTAACTTATAACTTATAATTCTCACTCTTCAATTCTAAATACATTCATTCATTAACTACTTAGATAAGAAAAGAAAAGAAAATAAAAAAAAAGTAAAATAATAAACTAGGAAAACACAATGTCATGCAAGCAAAAATCAAAAATTAACTAACTCTCAGATGCTATAATGAGTCATGACTTCAGAAGGCAAAAAAAAAGAGAGAATAGAGAGAGAAAGGGAATTTTTTAAGAGTACTATAATTTATAATACCTTCTACCTCTCTTTCTCAATAGGAAAAAAAATGATTTAAAATTTTTCTTAAATTTTATTTCCTTCCCAAAACCGCCTTACTTCGCAGGAGGCGGCCCAGGCGGCGGCGAATAAACGGGCTCCCCAGCCCGATGGACATTCTGCGGCGTTTGCAGCTCGACGCCTTGTTCCTGCGGTGGTGGATATTGGTAGGGTGGCTGCGGTTGCTGCTGGCCGCCAAAGTAAGTAGGCTTGGGACCGTAGTAGCCGCTATTCGGCGTGTATTGGGGCGGAGGCATGTTGGGTGGTTGATTCTGTTGTTGTTGTTGCTGCCAGAAAGTGTTCTGGGCGGCCCAGCCTGTGCCGTGGAAGGGTTGTTGGCCGCGACGGCGGCGGCGGCGGGAGGAGATGCAACTGTTGGTTTGTCGTCAGTTCTTTTCTTTTCTTTTCCTATTTTACTTTTGGGAGAGTGGATCCAATAAATGCGGACGAGGAAGGTTGGAGGGGGAGACGAGAGACGTACGCAAAGGCGAGGAAGACGAGGAAAGCACCGAGAACGACGATGACTAGGGCAACCCAGCGACCCCAGTCGCTCCAGGCTGATCTGCAGTAGACACGTCCTAACTCCTCGTAGCAGCTGGTGGGGTGTGTGTGTTAGAACTTTCATTCAATTGATACATTTGGAAATGATGGAGGTTTTGAGGCAGGAGTTCCGACTCACTCATATCTACGAGCAAGATGCATCTTTGCGACGGGACAGTCTCCGAGATGAGAGAAGGATCTGTTTTCTAAAGGGAAAGGATGAAGTAAGGGAGACTGGCTTGTCGTGGAGTAGGGGTTATAAATATAGATGATTGATTAACTGCTGTAGAAAAGTGTTGCTTATTATGAGATGCTGATGACGGAATGTGGCTGGGTTATTGGATCGGGGCCAGCCTCAAGCACTATCGCGCTTTTCTGGAGATGGTGTGGTTGCAATCAATCAAGCAGAGGAGAGAAGAGAAGAGAAGAGAGATCGTGAGCGAGATTGATGATGGCAGGGTGTTTTCTGATGGAAATGGGTGATAGCTGCTTGCTTGCTGATGAGGAGGAGGGGAGGAGGAGCTAGATAGAGAATCGAGGTGAAGCCGGAAGCAGCCATTCTTGTTCTTGTCTGCGAATTGCAGTGTGGCTGAGCCGCGGCCGGGCCGACATATCTCCGACCGCCCAGCCCGCGTCAATGACTTCCATATTAGGCAAGGTGCGAAACGGAGGTCCTCCTTGGCACCGAAGACATCGTTTGGAACCAATAGGAGCCGCGGAAACCTCGGGCGTTGACGGAACTTGCCAAGAGTTGATTCCATTATATCATAGCATAAGGCATGCATGCTTCCCTCTCGCCCGTAGCAGTCCATACGCGTATCTATATCTATATTTATCCGCAGAGTAGTGTAGGGCTGCCAACGAAACACGGACGTAGCCCAATCCAGGCTAAATAAGGTGGAACGGGTAATAGTAACTCCATCTGCAACGGCTAGGGGAGGTTCAGGCCTAGTCGCATCCTGAAACAACATTCCCGCATTTCAGCGCTTCCTATTTAAGACATCCATCCTTAACATGGCAAAACATAGAAATATAAATAGATAAATAAATAAATAAATAAAAAAATAAAAAATGTACAGTATATCCCAATATTTTGGCCTCTCCCCATCGAAAACCAAAGCTCCCGGGGTCAAGGGAAGTCTCATCCCACATGAGCCACCTACAGAGATCACATATCTCATTTTGGCGGTGTGATCAATTAACTATATGTGGAGTAGTGCCAATCGCCATCTTGTCACATCACATGTAATAATATTTGTGTGGCAAGTGAGGGGCACACACTCTCACACACTCATTTATATCCCTGGGGTTGGATAGTTTACGAATCCATGGATTGGATGGTTGGCCATTTTTCATGCACTGCCAACGCATCAGTTGGTCTGTGCTCTGCTGCTGAGATGGCTGTTTGATGAGTTGTTCATACATACGTGTTGGATGGGGCAGTATATATATATATATAGATAGATAGGTAGATAGATAGATAGATATAAATGTAATCGAAATTGTTTAGAATTGACTCTTCTTTTTTTCCATTTTGGTTTTCCTTTTTTGTTCACTGTTGTTGTCTGTCCAACGGGTGTTGGTTGACCCTTCATCACCTCCCTACTTACTCTCCCCATACGCTGCGTACAAAGCGACAATCCCTCCGAATGGCAGATTATTATGCTGACGCTCCCCGTTGCCAGATTAAAAATGATCTTCAATCCACTTTTTTTTCTTTTTTTTTCTTGTTCACTGATAAGCGGTTATTCCCTCTTCTCCATCTTCGTTCGTCTCCTGGCATATATCTCTGGGATAGACAGGTGATAATGAGGAACCAAAAAAATAAAAATAAAAATAAAAATAAAAATAAAAATAAAAATAAAAACTTGATGAAACTAAATAAGAATGATAGATCTCAATTTACCAGTACGGATGCAGACAACCAGCCAACAATCCGACATCTAGCGTCAAGCCCCATGCCATTGCATACGGCAGCCTCCTCGATCTTTTCACCAGCCTTCCTCTCCTATCCTCCCTAACACGAACGTGTCGTCGTGCCGACCACGGTAAAAACACCCATCCAAAAAGGAAAGAAGAAAAATAAAAGCCCTAAATGCAGAAAAGCTAAAATGCAACGAGGACAACAAGGTAGAAGGAACAGCGGAGAAAATGTGAGGAAAAGACGAGAAAAAAAAGCAGAAAACCGCTCACCCGCTTGCTTCTTATGCCAAAGATTACCATTAACATATCCATTGAAGACGAGGGCGAGAGAGGCAAATAAATATAGACGGCGATTAACAGGGGGGAACATGGAAGATAAAATGAAAGGAGCGAAATGGAATGGCAACCCCCATTGGCCGGTAGTAGGGGGATTTAGGGGGAGGGAGAATTAATTGAATACGTCACCTCATGCATTTTGGGGGAATGAGAAATTGCTAGAAAAGGAGGAAGGAAGAAAGTACGGAAGAGAAAGCGTCAGTATCGTTACAAACGGTCCGGGATGAACTGGGAACACAAAAGAAAAAGAAAATACAATGGATGCATGGAGTCCGGGAAAAACGATATATGGCAAGAAAAGGAAAAGGAAAGGAAACAAGAAAAGGAGAGAGAGGGCGAGATTCGGAGCTAAAGTCAAGAAACAACAACGAAGACAGTCGATGAGATGGAAAATAAATTGATGGGGTTTGGGGTTTGCTGGTTTGAATTCGGACAGGAAATAGAAAAAATATCGGCATACCATGGGATAAGAGGAGGAGCGGAGGAGCGGGCGGGTATGGTGATGGTGAGTTTCACTTGCTTGATCGGGCGATTAACCAGTGCAGCACGGCATCGAGATTCGTCTCCTCTTTGGCACTAATCCCATAGCAGCTCACTTCGCGATGCATGATGGACTTCAAGTCCATGGCTTCAATCAATTCGTCGACGGAGAGCTTGTTGGGGAGATCGGACTTGTTGCCCAGGACCAGCAGTGGGATGCCGTCGAGGGACCGTTTGCTCACGAGATCGTGAAGTTCTTCCGTGGCTGTGGGCAGCTTTTCCTTATCAGCTGCGTCGACGACGTATCTGTTATTTTATTTATTTATTTTTTATTTTAGTTTGGGGGGACAGGTCAATTCTAAAGTTCCTGATGATGTTTCTTTGACAGCATCGGCCTCACCGGAGAAAGACGAGCAGCTTTTCTGGGGAAACGGGGATAACTAGACGAATTAACACTCACAACAGGGCGTTGACGCCGCGGCAATACCGTTCCCACATCGGCCTGAATCTGGGCTGACCTCCAAGGTCCCAACTATATACTTCTGTTAGAAGAAGGTTGCCCTAGGGTGAAATGGTGGAGATATATCCATATGGACTAAGCTGACCATTTTAGTGTGACATGGCCTTTCTGTACCCGCGCGGTGTTAAATCCGATGGTGGGAATAGAGCTGAGGGCGGTGTTAGTGGGAAGTATGGTAGATCGACGAACAGACATCCTCAACCCTCCCTTAAAACATACTCTACCGTGAATTCCCCTCCCTGGTTCCATCTCAGTTAGCACAGCAAAACATAGCAAGGCATAGCACAACATAAAACAACAGAATGAGATTTTGCTATCACTGCTGATAGAAAAACATTGCCTCACCGCTAAAACCCGCAACAATGACGACTTTCCAGCATTTTGCAACCCGATCATCGTCACATCCATTTCGGTTGCCCTGAGGACTAATTAGCTATGCTGTCATGGCCATGGGATCTGGCAGCGCTTGATGATGTTATGCACCCGCCAGATGCAACCCATCGCACACGGATGCTCGAGCCGCAAACTAACCAAAACTTTCTGAGCAACCAGTCATAGATACTTTTGAAGAAGCCCGCCATCATGGATCTGCTATGGACGAATAGCAGTGATGTCCCGATATCCAAGAGGTAGTAGGCGGTATCTAGGAGGCAACGAGAGAGGTTTGGAAGTAGGAAAACCCGGCTCACGATAATTTTGCGACGTTTGTGTGAGAAACCCACGGAGGAAATGAGTAAAGATAGTTTGTGTGTGTGTGAATATTATCGTGGTGTGTACAGAAATATGTACACCAAGAAATTTAGTCGTGGGGTGTGGCGTCTGTTAAGAAGGGTAAGAGATGGATCTGCAGGACAAAGCACACACAATAATGACGAAAATGCGTTCCTTTTATCCTTGGGACAGAAGTGAGAGGTATAATTTCGCATCCAAGGCTGGGGATGGAGTACAAAACCCCAGATGACAGGCAGAAACCTCCCGAAAGAATTTAATAAACCCGACGTAAACAATCACACACAAGGCACCTGAACAAAAGCTAAATGGCAAAAAATGCAACCAGGCAGATAAATCAACCAAAGAGATGGATATATATATTTCAAAAAGAAAAAAAGAGGAATGGAAGGAAATAAACTAGTTAGCAAACAACCCAATCCTCTGTTCTGCCAGCAATGCGTAGACTCTCGGAAGAAGCTCCTCACCAGCAAAAGAGAGAGGGGAAGTGAGAAATAGAGAGCTTTCCTCTCTCCAGGCAATCAATTAATGGGTACAAAGTGTTTCGCACTTTTATGGCTGCATCACCTCCGCGCGAAGTACGCCCGTGTACACATGACCGAAAATGGAGTTTTGACGCCGGGTGTGAGGAGTTGCTGCTGGGATTCGCGGGCGGCGTTTCGACCCTAACTAAGAGTCCCTGGTCCCCTGTTACCGTTCCTTGCGTAGTTTGGCTTATGCAGATTATTGCAGTGTGCAGTGCGCATCCGCCGGCGCAAAGCCCACCCACGCGGGATGACGGATTGGTGTTGGAAGCAGCGAGGGTGGTGGAGAAACTAGAGCCCAGCCGGCGCTAAGCTGGTAAGCTGGGACAGAATGTATTTTTACTTCTTTCTTTTTCTCTGTGTATTTCCCTCAATCCCTGCCGCTGCTGTTGATCGCAGAGAAGAGCGGAGGCTATTGGCTGGTTTGATGGTTGGCGAGGTTGACGGCAATCATATTTGTGGTCGTTGATTCCGTTTGCTGCTGGCTGGATGCTGGCTGGATGCTGGCGGCTGGAGGTTAGTAACCTTGGAACCTTCTCACTATCTCCACGTGATGATAGCTGTCCGCGTTCGTTAGCTTCGCTCGAAAAATTTCACACCGGCAGAACCTCGAAAGGGGAAGAAAAATAGACCACGAGCTTGGGGAGGCAGTTCATCAGAGCAAAAAATAATAAAAAGGAAAACGAAGTGTGAGACACTCAGGCAGTTGGCCTCCCGTTTTACATTTCAAATATTAATTTCGAGCTGTTCCACTCGTCATGGCGGCTGCACTCTAGCCGTAAAAAAAGTTTAGCGTTTCAACCCCAGGGCGCATTTGAGCTCGCACTTGAGCTCGCACTCCCTGTGACTTCTCTACGCTTCGGATATTCCCTTCTACTTCAATTGCATTTTGGCTTGGGTTTAATCCCTTCTGTTTTACCCCGCCATGGCGCCCTCTACAGCTACAGAATGGTCAGTCGAGTACGACACTCTCCGCCGTGAGCGGTTATTCCGAAACCCCCCCAAGGATCAGACCGCATATCCGTCCCTCTCAGCAACCATCCGACCCCATATCGATTCCTTCAATGCCCTATTTGACGACCACAAAGTCTTAGAGGCTGCAATAAAGGATATTGGCACCAAGTCATTCCTGGACGGTGATGCGGAAACACTGGAGCAGAAGCGGGCTAGGCTGGAGGAAGGGAGACGGGCACCCCGAAGAAACAAGCTCTCCGTGCGCATTACGGAGCTGTTCCTTGAAAAGGCTATGCTTCCGGCATCAAACAAGTTCAGTACACGGAACAGAGAAATCTACCCATCAGAGTGTCGGGAGAGACATGCAACATACCGTGGCAGATTAAGAGCGCGACTGGAGTATAAGGTGAACAATGGCGAGTGGAAAGAGTCGGTCAGAGAACTAGGCCAGGTTCCGATCATGCTAAGGGTAAGGATACAGTCCCAAAATGCTGGAAGTGCATTATCGTTTCTTCCGTTTGTAATCCTCCCTTCTTTATTAATTGATCGAAACATTCAATTTACAATGAAAACTGTTCTATAGTCCAACCGGTGCCACCTCGAAAAGGCTTCCCCGGAACAGCTTGTCCAACGAAAGGAGGAATCTGAAGAACTTGGCGGCTATTTCATTGTCAATGGAAACGAGAAGCTCATTCGAATGCTGATTGTTGGGCGAAGGAATTTTCCCATGGCCATCGTCCGTAACTCTTTCACGAAACGTGGCCCAACATATACAAAATACGGTATTCAAATCCGTTCCGTTAGGCCTGATCAGACTTCTCAAACGAACGTTTTACATTACCTCAGCGACGGCAATGTGACATTCCGGTTTTCTTGGAGGAAAAATGAGTTCCTTGTCCCGGTAGCGATGATATTGAAAGCACTGGTAGAAACGAATGACCGGGACATTTTCGAGCGGTTAGTTGGCCGTGAAGGATCTAAGGGAATTCAAAACTCCTTCGTTACTGATCGAGTCGAACTGCTTTTACGGACGTACAAAGGATATGGACTTCATGGGAGGGACGACACGAGAGCTTACCTTGGAGAGAAATTCCGGCCTGTTTTGGGAATGCCTGCAGATATGCCGGATGAGGCCGTGGGCACGGAATTTCTTCGAAAGGTCGTATTACCACATCTCGGTAACCAAAATGTGACTGAGTCTCAAGACAATGATAAGTTCAATATGATACTTTTCATGATCAGGAAGCTCTATACCCTGGTGGCGGGAGATTGCGCTCCGGATAACCCTGACGCTATTTCAAACCAAGAAGTACTTCTTGGCGGTTTTCTCTACGGGATGCTCTTGAAGGAGCGCCTCGAGGAATGGCTGAGATCCTTCGGCCCTGTTGCGCGTGATTGGGCTTTCAGAAATCAAAATGCACCATTCTCAGATCCAAGATTTGAGAAGGAATTCCTCAGTAGAATTGTGACCAGGACGAATGAAAATATTGGTGGTGCGCTGGAGTATTTCCTCTCCACCGGTAACCTCGTCAGTCCAACGGGTCTTGACCTACAACAACCATCTGGTTATACTGTTATAGCCGAGAAAATTAACTTCTACCGGTTCATCAGCCATTTCCGAATGATACACAGAGGAAGCTTTTTCGCGCAGCTTAAAACGACCACCGTTCGTAAGCTTCTCCCTGAGAGCTGGGGATTCCTTTGCCCAGTCCATACACCCGACGGAAGTCCCTGCGGACTTTTAAACCATCTCGCCCATAAGTGTGAAATCGCAACAAGTAACTTGGATGTCTCCGGCGTCCCTCAAGTGATATCGAATTTAGGAGTGACCTCTGAGTCCTCCGTGGCTCTGGATGAGAGTGTGGTAGTCCAGCTGGACGGGCGAATTCTTGGTTACTGTTCCCCGAAACAGGCTCGCATGATTTCTGACACTCTGCGGTATTGGAAGGTTGAGGGACATCGAAGTCTTCCCGTGGAACTTGAAATCGGATATGTTCCCAACTCGAATCGGGGGCAATACCCAGGCATCTATCTATTCTCCCAATGTGCGAGGATGCTACGGCCAGTCAAATACCTCCCGCTGGACAAACTTGACTATGTTGGCCCGCTAGAGCAGCCATACATGGAAATTGCCTGCCTTCCGTCCGATATCACATCCGGCGTATCTACCCATGTGGAATTCGACCCTACACACATCCTCTCGATTGTCGCCAACATGACTCCATTCTCGGACTTCAACCAATCTCCCCGTAATATGTACCAATGCCAAATGAGTAAGCAGGCGATGGGAACACCGGGATCATCTATGGAATACCGTACCGACAACAAACTCTACCGGCTACAAACCGGGCAAAGCCCTGTTGTTCGGAGCCCTCTCTATAATAGCTACGGACTTGACAACTTCCCTAACGGCATGAATGCTGTTGTGGCTGTGTTGTCATATACTGGTTACGACATGGACGACGCTATGATTATCAATAAATCTGCCCATGACAGAGGATTTGGGTGGGGCACAATCTACAAAACAAAAATATACTCCCTTGATGACAAGGAATCTCGTGGCCGGGGTAAGGCGAGACGGGAGGTTAGCAAACTATTTGGGTTCGCACCGGGCGGTCTTGTTAAAGGAGAATGGCGCGATGCTCTGGACGAAGATGGTCTCCCTCACATCGGTGCCCGTGTGACCGAAGGCAGCCTCGTCGCTGCATGGCATACAGTCCGCTTCGACCCGGTATCGAACTCCTACGTCAACATTGACAGACAAACTCACTTCCTCAAGTACAAGGACACCGAAGAGGGCTACGTTGACAGCGTCCGCATCCTTGGCTCCGAAACAGGTGGTGACCCCTGCCAAGCCCTCAGCGTCAAATTCCGCATCCCTCGAAAACCGCTCATTGGAGATAAATTTTCCTCCCGCCACGGGCAGAAGGGTGTCTGCTCCCAGCTGTGGCCTGCAATCGACATGCCCTTCTCCGAAACTGGCATCCAGCCCGACATCATCATCAATCCGCACGCTTTCCCCTCCCGAATGACAATCGGTATGTTCATCGAGTCCCTCGCGGGCAAAGCTGGCGCTCTCCACGGCCTCGCGCAGGACGCCACGCCGTTCCGATTCTCCGAAGAGAACACCGCAGGCGACTTCTTCGGCGAACAACTACGCAAAGCCGGTTACAACTTCCACGGCAACGAACCCATGTACTCCGGCATAACCGGCCGCGAGTTTGCCGCCGACATCTACCTAGGCGTCGTCTACTATCAACGTCTCAGACACATGGTGAACGACAAATTCCAGGTGCGGACGACGGGTCCCGTGAACGCATTGACAGGGCAGCCCGTCAAGGGCCGTGCAAAAGGTGGTGGTATCCGTGTCGGAGAGATGGAGCGCGATTCACTCCTTGCCCACGGCGCCGCTTTCCTCCTGCAAGACCGGCTGATGAACTGCTCGGACACCACGCGCTCGTGGATCTGCAGGACGTGTGGCTCGTTCCTGTCAACGCAGGTTGCTGTCTCCAAGCTCATGGCGCCCAGTAAAAACCCGGCTATGGCTGCTGTCGCGAAGTCGTCGTCATCAGGTCTGGCGAGGCCTGGTGGTGCTGTGAGTGCGTTGGGTGGCACTGCGGGGATTGTGCGCTGCCGTCGGTGCGCGAGGGAAGCTATCTTCGATGACCCCCGAGCTGAAGTATGGGAGGACGGAGAGGGGAAGAGGTTTGTTGGTGGAGATGATACGACGGTTGTTGCCGTGCCGGGCGTGTTGAAGTATTTGGATGTTGAGCTGGCGGCTATGGGCATCAGGATGACATTTAAGGTTAATAATTGAGGTTCCATGACAGTGAGATGGCGGTTCAAGGACTGGGTTTGGATCGCCCCTTGGAATCACGGAAAGAAAAAACAAAAACAAAAATATGGAGGAGATATTGTAATTGGCGTAAGAAGCTAGATATGTTATTGCATCATGTGTTATTTCTAGAATCCTTTTCATCACCGTCGCTTTCTCTCCATATCTGGCGAAAAATATCTCTCTGCGTACGATCTTGCATGTATCTAGCTATAGTTTCTTTCTTATACAGTGGTCCTTTCCATGTCCTTGCTCCCAATCATCTGAACGACCCGTCTATGTAACCAGCTGATCAAGTAATATTAATCCGCAGAACATCTACTCCGTAGCGATAGAGGGAGACCCAATACAAAGTGTTTTAGTGAAGAGGAGTTAGCCCCCCTATTAAACTTATCCTTCCCTGCTCGTTCATTTTTTAACGGGCTCAACGGACATCCCCAGAGTTTCCGAAGCGGCGGGGGATAGTAAAACGGACATAGGTTCTGTGTGAATGGTTAGCCCCTCTCCAGCATTCGAGTTGGATGGGGAGGGGGGGGGGTTATCAGGGGCTTTCAGCAATTCGATGAAGGACGGTGTGACCTGGGTACTCCGCAGACTGAACCTTACTGCGTGATAAGGTTCTTTAAGAAAGGGTAGGGAGAGACCTATGATGCTTGGGGGAAGGGTGATAATGAACAGGAGGTGGAGTGGAAAAATGGAAGAGGGCCGATTGCCAAATTCTACCGTATTTAAATTTTCTAGCAAGCTAAATTTATCACAAAGTGGTAGAAGCAACAGAAGAGCAGCCGCTCAATATCATTAAAGGAAAACCGAAGAAAAACAAACACACGCCCTCCCCCCATTTTACTCCAACGTTCCCGTAACATTCGAGAACTCATTCTTCTCCAACTTCGTCTTCCAGAATATAGGATTGGTATCATTGAAACCATGCTTCTCCCACCCGGCTTCCTTCACATGGTACAGATTGATATAGCCACCGGAGTAAGCATCTCTATGCGTCGCGGCGAGGATACTCCGCCTGCCCAGCTCCAGCGCCTCTTCATCCGTCAGGTCAAATCGGTACTCGGCATCGAGCACGCCATATGCAAACGTTTGGCCAGAGCCGACGCAGAAGAGATTTCCTGCCAGTCGTGTTCCGTCTGAGTCGATGTAGTAGAGCGCAGGCCCCTCTTGCGGGGTTACGCCGGCGCACATGGTGCCCATGCTTAGGCCCATGCCCTTGTAGTTGTAGACGAGGTTGGCGAGGATCTTGGAGGCGGCGGCGACGGATATGCGGCGTTTGTGGCGGAGTTCGTGGAGACGGCATTGCATGCCTAGATAGGCGAGCCAGTATTGACAGTCCTACGGCACAGGGTGGGAGTAGTTAGTTGTCAATGTTTCTCTCCAGTTGAGCAGCCCAGAACAGAAGTTGGCCAGATTGCTAAGCTGAGCAGAATCCCAAGCAACAAGGGCAATAATAGGAAATACGGGGTCCCTAGAGCAACTAGGATGTAAGTAAGAATAATGATAGTACATACAGCAGCGCCACCAGCCATAGTCCCTAACAGACAACTGTTGATCTCTATAACCTTCTTCACAGTCTGACTAGCTATCCAGTTACCAGCGGTAGCTCTGGAATCTGTCGCCACGATGATCCCTCCTTTAAATCTGAACGCAAGAGTCGTGGTGCCATGAGCGATTTTAATGGGGCAGTCTGGGTTGGCATGGTCGTCGGTTACGGCTCGAAGGAAGGAGGCAGGCTAAGATGGAGAGATAATGCGAACAGTTAGAAAGAGGATATAAAAGGCGCAAAATAGGGGCAGTCTAAGATAACATTCAATTAGCTCGCAACACTGGCCCACAAAGACTCACTTTATCAACTGGAGGAAGAGCGAATTTTAGAGATAGAGGCGGCAATGCCTCTGTGAACTCTTGCTCTTCGGTCCGGGAGTAGCCTTCATTCTTGACCTGAGGCCGGGCGTATTGGGCGACGAGGGTATCCATGATGAGGAGAAAGCAAAGGGGTTCTAAGCAGGAGGAGAAGAGACACAGGACACAGAAAATAATGAAATGAGGAGAAAAACGAAGAAAAAGGGACGAGATCGTAGTATACAGGTATCTTGAGGGTTGGAGCTTCGTTGAGCTTTTGGGGATGAAGTATGAAGTTTGCTTGGAAGCGCGTCACTGGGCAGCTGCCTGTGTCACATGACTTATCTCTCGCCAGCATATACATTGACAGAGCCGTAGAGGGTCACACGGGGAACTTAAAACTCGGGGGTATGGCCGAGTGGTCTAAGGCGCTGCATTTAAGTTTTTCCGGAAACACTGCAGTGAACGTGAGTTCGCGCGCGTTCGAACCGCGCTGCCCCCATTATCCTTTTTTCTTCTTTTTTTTCCCTGGCTTGTGCCATGTATGATCATGATCTGTGTAGCAGCCACTGGGTATGGAAATGAGCAGAAGAACACTTCAGAACGATCCTGTGAAGAATAACATTTCAACTATCACTGGACTACAGACTATTAAAACTACATATTAGTTGGGGAGAGTTTAATTAATAAAATATAGCATATGCAATCCCTCTCCAAAACTCCAGTGAAAAGACACAACAAAATACCACCAGTCACAGGAACTATTGTTGGTTTTGTTTTTCTGGTGTTATTTTCATCGCCAAAACCCTCCCTCCTCCCTTCTTTCAATTTTTGGTTTGAACTGATACGATGAATACCCAAATCATAATTTCAGCGGCATACACACGGATATACTTACCTACACATAAGAATGCATAATGCAGATTAAACAAAAGAAACAATAAATCCAAGAGCCATTAAGCGCCCATTCCTTTCCCAACATCTTCCATTAAGCAGCGACAGGCTGCGGCATCGAAGACGCAGGAGCCGACTCCTTCTGATAAGACTCTTCCTCTTCACCATTGACATGGCTAACAGGCATCAAATTCGTTCCCATGCGTGCTGCGGCGGATTGGATTGGCTCCAGGCTGGGCTCCCAACCTCGTAGGTCCTGTTCGGCATCATTGAGGACCTGGCGAGCTTGATCCATTTGCTCATAAGCACCCCGGGTATCTCCGGGAACGAGCGGGGTGTCGTCCAGAAGATTGAGAAGTCGACGACCATGGCGGGCGAGGATGATTTGCTTCTCTGCCCTTTCGATGGTGGCGGCCAGGTGAATGTCGAATGCTTCCTTGAGCTTTTGGCGGGTCTGCAGTGTGGGAAGAATTGATTAGCTGCTGCCAGTTAAAATGAACGACTCTCAGTAAGAAAAGAGAGGGGGATAATGGGTGGTTAGAGGGGGAGGGAATGTTGATCAAGTAAATCAATTGTCAAAACTTACAATATTCGTCAACTGTGCCTCAGCTACCAGAGTCTGTGCCTCCGCCCTGACCAGCTCCTGTTCCAAGTTCACCAACTTGGGGCTATTCGGATCCTTCAACTTCTGCTTCTGGATATCATCGACAACACGCGCCTTATATTCCCTGGCGGGGTGCACGGAAGCCTCCGTATTGCGAATCTGCTTCAGCACGTTACGGTAATCCTCCAGGTACTGCGCATACAGGTCTTCCTGCTCGCCCATTTCCGCGAGTAGTACGCCCAGCTTATCGGCAATGTCGGAAACAGCATTATCGCCTGTGGATTCACCCCAGTCTGATAGCTGCGACGCAATGGAGACACGGTCCCGTCCTGCATTCTCGTACGAGCCGATGGCATGGTTTTCGGCCTTGATGAGCTTGTAGAGCCTGCGACATAGCTCGGGTTGCTGCGTGCCACGCAAGGTGGCCATGCTGAAGCGGTGCTTGACAGGGCGATCCATGACTTGACTGCCTCTGCTGCGAATGGAGCGTGAGCGGTACCTGTATATATAATTTGTTTTCCGTTTCGTTAGAAATCTATGGATTTTTCTTTAACGGACTCCTTGTATAGGGGGGTAGTAGATCAACGTAGAAAGGATGGGAAGATAGATTCGGTCTCTCACATTTCAATTAAGATATATTACTTTATTATAGGCAGGCTTGTGTCTTCAATTGTATCGAATACCGGGTATGAGCGAGGTGGGAGTAACGTATTTGGTGTTCTTCGCCCCAGATCTGCCCTTTTCTCCTCTGTTGATGTTGTATCGATTGTACTGGAGACGAAACGCAATTGAGGCGACGGATGCTTTTTGGATTAGAGGATTAACCACAAAAGTCATAGGAAACCACCAGTGAGATTGAGAAATAACTTGTCAATGGAGCAAAACAACAGGTTTCTCCTTCTTCATGGCTGCCTTTTTGCCATCCCCATCGCCTCGGTGTTTCCTTCTGGTTGAACGGTGGCACAGGTCAATTTGCCTTGGTTGCTGACGTCACAAAGACCTGATGATGTTCTGGACATCTTTCAGAGGGCAAAAGAAATTGGTATGCATTATGGGACTGCGTTCTAGTGGTGACGGATTGTGTCATATGGCTGATGGGTTGCCCATCTGGGGTACCATGACGCTCTAAGGTGAATCCGGATTACTTAACCATGGAGTTAATTGCGTTAATTCGTTATATGCTCTGTAGGTTGTACGGATCTATTGCAGATTGATCAATGAGAGGAAGGGAATGTGGTTGTTTTCTAACCGCCTAGTTCCGCTCTGAAGTTAATTGCTGATGTTTTGGTGCCGCGATTTACAGGAAGAGAGACCTTACTCACACTCACACGGGACCATACAATATGATGTTATCTTTGAAGAAAATTGAACTAGGGAAAGGAGTTAATGAGTTACTAAAATCAAATTAAGTTACGATACATATCATCACTCGAGAATGCAAACACAAGATTAAGCTTCAATTCAATTTGACTTCCTCTCTTCATCAACCCAAACAATGTCCAAGAAAACAGCAATCATACGAACAGAATCGCTCCATGTCCCCCCAAAATACCCCTTAAAACAACCACAAACATCACCCACTGGTGGTTGTATGTGTATAAACCCACAATGCTAGAATCGGCCGATGCTTTCGCACACTCTTCTCGCGAGGGAAGTAGGCAATCCTAAGGGCAATTTGCATGCCTATTCCTACTTGGACTTCCAAACTGGGCTGTGTCGGTATGTTGAATACGGATCACCGGAAGCAGTGTGTATTATCCCGCAGCCACGTCCGTCGAAAATCATGTAACCCCTCCCTTCCACGCTCGTTCAATTTATTCATCAGTGGAAGGAAGCTGGGCTATGCGCAGTGGGTGTTTAATGGTAAAAGGCCTCGCTTCCCAAAGCTGCGGTGGGCATTGGGCGATGGCACACCAGATTTGCCATCCCAGCACTCTGAATCTCTCCAGGGCCAACCTACACCCGTCTGGGTATTGAGCTTAACCCACAACACTGCCCCAGGCCCTGCATTCTCCTTTGTTCCCCTTCTCCTCGCAAGGGCCGGGTCGTCTCTCAATATTAACACACAACCCCAGCATACCCCCAGATTCCTCTCGATCAATACCCACACCTGCAACTCAATAGAGATGAAGGTCTGCACCTACACCTGTAGCTGGAGTAGTACGAAAGCCTGCTCCGCGGCGGACATCCGGGATAGATGGTGATCGGTCGTGGAGAAATTGGATATATAGTGCATTCGGTGTACGGCCGGCTACATATTATCGGCGTGCGGCGCCGGCAGAAGAGGGAGGAAATGGGGTAGATGCGAATGCTCCGGGAAGGGTTTACGTAGTAATAACAGTTGCAGGACCTAGGGCAGGAGGTATGAGAGTGCCTTGGACACGGATTGGGCCTGGGGCAGGTGCAAGATGGAGAGCGGGAGTTGGAGTTGGAGTTCGAGCTCGAGCTGGAGCTGGATCCGGAGCTAGAGCTGGAGCTTGAACCAGAACTAGAGGAGGAGCGGCAGCAACACATTGTAGCTATATCTGAGAGAGACAAGGCTCTCTTCTGTTCTTAGGATTAGCTGTAGCGGTGGTAAGTGAAGTATGGATTCGTTCGTCAGGTCAACGCTTCTGGAGCTTTGTGTCAGGTCGCTGTTCGCGGTTGTAGTTTTGAACCTTGATAAAAAAGGGTCAGTTTGAGCACAGAAAAGTAGAGGATAATATTCTAGCGCATATATAGGGGTCTCAGATGGGGGTATAGGAACAAGCACTGTAAGCTATGTAGAAACGCCCAAAGAGGCCATAGGATATCGTGAAGTAAGGTAATAAATAGAACCCAATAAGCCTCACCTAGCTCTTGAATCAAACTAACACCGTCAAAGCGTCATGATATTGTAGGCCATCTATCAAGTAAAAACAATGAAGATGTGTTTCACTCGGCGCACCGATTCGCAGCAGATTGTGGGCTAGAATATAAACCAAGAAACAAGAACCGCCAAGTTCGCAAGACAACCACGAAACTGGGCACAGTGTGTGTTATGTGTGTGTGTTCTTGAAGATTTCGTCTTAACAAAGCAGTAGTTAAGATAGTCCAAATGGGCTGTCAGTTGAAAAGAGAGAAAAGATAGAGAGGTAATGACAGGAAAAGAAACAGGACGCAAGAAAAAAGAGGGACGGCATAGCACAAATTTGTCCATGTGCTATGCCATTATATATGGAGAGGGTAAGCCGCGTGCCCAGTCCATTCATCCAATTTCACACTTCGAAGGCCCCCACCAGGAGAACACCTGCTCGTTTTTCTGAGTATGATAGATACCCTTTTTATAGAAGAGTGGAGGGGACCGGTATCACGTTGCCCGGAGATGGGAGAGTAGACGCAGGGCTCTGCTCTGCAAAAAGTGAAGCAGCACATGCCATGAGCAGTGTGTCGCATCTCTTCGCTACGCCCTGAAATATCGGGATATCATCAGCGATCGATCGGATGCTGCAAGAGGGAGTGAAGCCGGCCCGGTAAGGGAAAAAGTTGTTCGTGTTTCCACTTTCCGTAGCCACACATCTCTTACCTAGTATTCGCTGAACCGCGAGTATGTCATCTCCCCCTTCCGCCCACCATCATGTTAGTCATGCAGGTCCCATCACACACACCCGTCTTGGGCTCTGCACCGATGACATCAAGGAGGGTGTGGCTGCGCTGCAGTGACAGCTGAGAGGGAGTTGGTTGTGATAGGTGCATGCGGACGAGGACAGAGTGGTCACATGACGCGGGTGCATATTGTTACGTGACAGTTTTGAGGAGAATGATCTTATGAGCCACAGTTATATAAAGATTCTACCAATATTAAATTACCAATATCAGCAGGGCTTAAGTATGATTGGAACTTTTGTAACCAGAGGATCGTTGATACGGATCGCGTTTAAATTTACCGCCTTCTTGCGGTTGCGATGGGCTTTCATTTATGGATTTACCGGGTGGGGAGAGCGCTCAAAGTAGACAAAAGTGGTAATATAAAGATGTATTGTATTGAGGTGAAGAGAACATCGCAAAATGCGTGAAAATAATTCCACAAAGATAATAAATAGTAAGTAGAAATGAAATAATTATAAAGCGAGGAAGATGAAAAAAGATTAGACCTTAAACACCCCCATACCATACCTTCACCCTGGACATTTATTTTTGCGACAAAACATAAAAAGGTATATATCAAAACAAATTAAACAAGAAGAATCGAGAGAGCGAAGCAAATGAATAAAACGGAACGAAAATACTCCACACCCATTTCATTTTCATATTCATACATAAAAGCGCAGAGATCCCAACCAACAATGAGAAAATCCCCATCCCGGCAAAAAAGAAATTCTATGAAATGAAATCATGAAATCTCTCCGGTCTCATTTTCATTGTCCCGCGGCTGCTCACGCTCCGCCTCCGACGCATGGAAAGCCTCCCCAAATGCGGAATTATCAAGGTCCCCCATCCCTAGCTCATCGTTTTGCTCACTGTACGCCGCCAGCGCATCGCCGGCAGAATCCATATTGCCGAATCCAGTCGCATCGTCAAAATTACTTGTTTCTAGCGCGCTGGCTTCGCCTAGGTCGGTATTTGCCGCCGGGGTTAATCCTTGGATTCCACTGATTGGTGTGTCGGCTCCACTTACTGCTGCTGGTGTTGTAGTTGTAGTTGCTGGCGGTTGTGCTAGTATCGGTGCTGCTGTTGCTGCTGCTCCTGCGCTCGTTGATTCTGTAGTGGTAGACGGTTCTTCTATAGCGGCAGCGACATTAACACTAGTATCCTGCGGCGCCGCATTCTCTTCCTTGTTGACCATTGATTCGCCCGTTACTTGGCCTCCTGCGGTGGTGGTAGTGGGATGAGCTTTTGCAACCTCAATCCCACCCATCTCGACATCAACACTAGCACCTGGTTTGGAAGGCTCGGATGGAAATGATGGCCCTGATGCAGACACAGTTTGAGTAGCTGGTGGAAGAGTGGAAGCTTTTTCATCCTTAGTCTGCCGAGCGGTTGGAGCAGTTACAGGGGCGGGCACCGGACCTGCTGAGGTACCGCCTGATGGTTGCTGCTGCGCGGAATCAGCTGCTTGCCCAGGTAAGCTGATGCCGGCGTCGCCCATGTCAACGTCTCTCACAGCGGCGCTACTAGGGATTTGGGGTGGTGCGACTCTTTTCTGAAGACCCCCTTCCTCAATACAGGAAACTTCCGTAACGGGCACGATCGATTTCCCCAAGGTTTTCTCGAGGTTACTGATGATATCATCAACCCTCGTCTTCGGGCGATTATCGGAATACTCAATCTGAGGGGACTCTTCTCTCGCGGAGATATCCAAGTGGCCCTCAACTCTCCAAAACTCGTTACCCACGTCTTCGGGGTCAATGTAAGCATCACGGAGCGCTAGTTCGGCTTCTTTCAAGAGTGTGATTCGTTTCATCTTTTCCAGTCTCTTCGCGTGCTTTTGCTTCATTTTTTCAATCTCTCCAGTGATTTCAGAAATCCTGCGATTAGCAGCGTGGGTAAAGTCCTCTGCTTTGCCAGGCTCCATCTTCCCAGTCGAGCGAGGAGCGGAGAGTTCTTTTTGCGTAAGAGACGGCCCCGTAGGAGCATCAAAGAACCCAGACGTTAAAGATTCAAGTTCTCCTTTCCGACCCAATCCTAGATCCACTGGCATAATTTGCTTTACGCTGTAAGGGGAGCCAAAAATTTCATCCATCCATTCGTGGTGATGGCGATATCTCATCTTGCTGATATCCCTTGGAGTAATAGTATCCAACAGGTCTCCTGTGGAGACCTCCTCTTCTTCCAGCGAATAATCCCCTGCAGCAGCGCTTGCCATAGCTGCTGCGGCGGTGGCGGTGCGGCTGGATCTTGACTGCTTACTTTGAGGGCCTGGTAAGTTCTGTCCTTGTTGTGGTTGGTAAAATGGGCCAGATTGCTGCCGGCTTAGAAGGGGGTTGGTGTAAGGTGCGCCTTGTTGCGCAAAGTTTTGTTGTCCCACTTGTGAGGGGAGGTTGATGGTAGGCCAGCTGTTTCGGTCGTGAAGCATGAAGTCCTTGCGCACAAGTTGTCCCTGGCTTTGAAGGAAACGTCTTTGGGCAAGGATGTTCTGCATCTGGAGCGTGGCTGGAATCTGATTCGAAGGTATATGATCTCCGGCGGGCGCTTTGGAATAGTGAATTATCCATAACGACGGATCGCATGGCAGAACGTTCGCATTGGGGTTTTTGGTTGGGGTAAGGCGGTACCGCTTTCGGCAATGTGTAGCTATCTGTTCGTTGGGGGGATGGTATCCGCAACGTTGAAGATATAACTCCAAATTCTATATAAATAAAAAGGAGGTATTAGAAAAAAAATGGAGGCATAGGAGAATCAAAGTTGGCATATCCTTACGTAGCCTCTTATTTCCGTGCTGTAGAGCAGCTCAGCATCAGCCCACACATATCCATCGCTGGCGAAAGTCGTTCCCAAATGATTCAAGGGCTGCCAGACGAGCATCACGGTCCCGTCAGGCGGGCCATCAAGGAACATCCAATGCACGGTCTGGAGCTCTCGAACAACCTTAGGAGCAGATATGAGGTATTCGACGGCGGTATCGTGGGACAGGTTGTTCATCACGGGATACCGATAGTTCGAAACGAGGTGCATATGGGGCAACTGGGACCAGTAAATTAGTTTTCACGGTATCTCAGAGGCACCATATTTCCACTGGTCGCAAGATTATCCTACCAGCTGTTGCGGCACCCCTCCCGCTGGATCAGCCATCCTCGCGGCTGCACTTTGCCTGCTCATTCAGGCGGATCTGATAATGAAACCTCACAAAGTAGAGTAAGCGCGAGCCGTCATGTGACAATAGCAAGATAATTTGAGAAGTCCCTTGCGACCGCTCTGGGGATACTGGAAGGGAGTGATCGATGCTGGACGCGACCAACGCGATATTTCATTTGCGATCTGGATCTTAAGCAATTGATCCCTGCCAAGAGCACACTAGTCTAAGCTGGCTAGTTTACGATTCACGTGAAATTGTCTTGGCATTTATGCTTTTCAGCTCCAAAAAGTTGTACGATACAATATATATGTATATATATACTATGCGTGTATCTGTGATATTAGAACTCTGTTCAATAATAATGTGTAGATATGGGATGTGCAGCATCTTGTGATAATGTCAGTTTCTATGCCCAATGACTATTTCAAGTAAAGAAGTTGTAAACATTATTTACCTGGTATAAATGATTCAACATAGGCTCAATTAGTGCGATTTCTCTACCGACAATTCACAGTAATATTCCAATGAGAAATCAAATCTTTGAGTGGGATCCGTCTTGGAGTACGCAGCGTAAAGAGTAAAAAGTGCTCCCTATGGTTGATTGACCGGAAGCTAGTATGAGTGGCTGGAGCTGATCGCTGTAAGAGAAGTTCACCATGCACGGGATGTGGAAATACGAACGAATGAGACTCGAGCATGACAGTCGCCTATTTTTCAGTCACTGTTGACTTTTCCTTACAGATGTCGAAAGGATGTCTGGGAATTGGAAGTCAGCTTGCAAACCGGCAGCTCCTGGAAAGCGAGAGGGAGCTGTGCTGCAAACCTGCTATTAATATGGTGGTGGGGCAGTGACGCTGACGACTTTGAACATTCCCTTGAAAGTTGCAAACTCAGCTTTTATCAATAGCTCATTCTGCTCTGCATACACGGTATCTAAA